AGGCACCGTTTCAAATGACGTGAATCGGTGCTCAGTCGGTACTGTGGAATTCGGTCGGTACCTTAAAAAGTACCGAATTCGGTACCCATCGCTACTGAAGACCTTTATCTATTTAAATCAATCGTTTATTGAAGTAGCGCTTAACACTACCCAGAGGGTGACCAACCTGCTCAACATTTAAAAGATGCTCGAGGATGCTTTCGTGTAACCCTTTTAGAGGATCAGTCAGCCCAACACACTCTCACACCCGGAGCGTAGCGAGAGGACGCTGGGTGAGCAAGCGTGAGGACGTGTTGGTTAGCCACTAACACGTAGTGGTGGGACAAGGTGTTGAGTATAGTTCTCCAGAGGCTCAGCCCACTTTGAGTGAGGTCACCTGCAGGTTGGATTACCTTAGCTCAAGGCACGGAGAACGGATTCTGTCCAGCATGTTTTAGCTGTTTCCCTGATGCAGTGCACCTACCCAACAGGTGATTAACAGGCTGAACACTGAATGGGACAACCTGCGGGACCGGAGCCCTACATCACTGGGCTTTCTCTGTTTTAGGAAATAACCAAAGCACCTCTTTAGGTGGGAGGGGTTTGATGACATCAGCACAGCAGTAGGAACTCTTCAATGTTCGTAAAAAAAAATGGTGGAAAAGATGAAAGTGATTCTTCCGGATCTCAAAACATAAAGGAGTTAAACTGAGACCCTCCTCTGTTTAGAGAAGACGAGAGTTGTGTTTACCTGGGAGCACTGGGACACCCACGTGGCAGCCATCTTGAATCAGGTTAAAAAAGAGCTGAGCAGGAGGAACATCAATGAGACAAAAAGAAAAATGACCTCTAGAGGTCATAAAGTGTTGCTGAGGGATGGACGGGTGTTTAAGCTGAGTGGATACAGGTGAACACTGAGGAGGAAACGTGGCAGATACACTTTCCTGCCATCAGACAACTCATAAATCCACCTCTTTCAAACCTCTTCAGCTGCTTCTCCTGCAGAGAAATCCTCTGACCTTCAGCCCGCCGGCAGATTAAACCGCTGATCCAGTAGCAGCAGAGAGCTTCAAACGAGCTGCACAGCGACTGTTTCCAAACACGCTCGTCCACTCCTCTGCATGAATGAAACAGGAGCGGCATTACAACCTCCCATGCTCTCTCTAACCTCTCCACCGGCTACACATCAGCTCCTGCCTCCACGGCCAAACGACACGGAAACGTCTGGCCCACGTCAACGTGAAGCACTTCACTCCTGAAGAGCCTCACGTGAGACCCTCCACAAATCCTCTCACCTCTAGCCTAAAATCACGCCAGCACGCAGCTCTGCAGCGCTTGTCAACCTCGCTGCAGCCTGGCAGCAGGAGCAGGACTCAGCAGAGATAAGCTGAAGAGGACGACCTCTCTTCATCCTCTCCTCCTCCTCCTCCTCCTCATCTGTCTTCTCTGTAACACCGGAGCTTTGACTCAGCCTCTTTAGCTGCATGCAACCATCTGATGTGCTCCCAGAAGCAGAGATGGATTCAAACATACGTTCAGACGATCCCTCATTAATGCAGATCCTTAAAACTTGAACTTCCGTTGATAAATTTGTCTTTTTCATCACCAACTGTGAGTCCATCGTTTTTAAATGCACACGTGTGACGCCGGAAGCGTTGCTGTAATCCTAACACGAACATCTACACATACAGGAACCTCCTGCTGCTCTCGACTAGCAGCTCGGATCTCACCGGAAACCGATTAGACCAAACATTCATGAGATCTCTACGGGTGCGGCCTCGCACTTCACGAGAAATGTAGACATCTTTCAAAATTTGTTGAGTTGTTTTGGGCATCTGATAAAAACCTGAAATAGTTCTCAATTTAGTTTGTGTCAATAAGAAATTCAACACCTTTGGGAGGATTGTTAAAACCTTTTAAAGATGCATTTGACATATCTTCTGCCTCGCCTCTGTAACGCGATGAAGGAGCTATTGCTCCAGGTTATTTATCCTCTAACCACAGCTCCCTCTGACACAGCGCCAGAGTGCATGAAACAGCCTCAAGGTCATGCATTCGCTTCTAAACTGTTTACTTTCCAGCAATGACGACAGAAGATGAAGACTCTTTTCTTTTATCAGATCAAAGAACTCTATTTTCAATAAAGCTAATCAAAACAACTGTTAGTCAATGATACAACGTGACCGATCTGTGAAATCACAATATTATGATTAATATGTTTTTAATAAATAATGACTTATTCTTGTCACTAGACACGCTGATACACTAAAGTAAATAATCACATGACACATTGCTGTTGCTGATCCAATCAGAACCTTCCTAGTCTGAAGCGTGGCGAGTCTCTGTGGTGTTTATAAATCTGTCAGCTTTGATTCGTCCAGAATCAAAAACATCCAGATTAATAAAACGGTTCCAACGCCATCTTAAGTTCAGTTCTCAAGTTCACCGCATGTTAAGTGAAGTACAGACAGGCCATCTGTACTTGTCTTTTCAAGCTGAGAACCATCAAGCTGGTAAAAATCTGTTGTTACCAACCAACAACGGTTCCTTTCAGAATAAAAGCTGAACTCGCTGACCCAAGGAGGGTCTCTTTTTGACACTGTGAACCACCTGTCGCTTTTTACCTGGAGACTATCCAAGGACTAGTTTGTCGTGCTGTGACGCTGTACCATTGTCTCTAGTACCGGAAGGAAGGTCCGTGGACCTGGCATCCGGATCTGTAAGGAGCTCTCACTGAGGGTATGTGGATGCGACACAAATGGCGTCTCATGTGTTTATGACCACGGGTCTCAAACTCTGATCAGTTAGGAGCAAAACATCATCTCCCACTCAGACTTTGCTTCTCCGGATGCGAGGGTTCTGAATTAAACATCATTCACCTCACACTTCATTCAAACAGAACATCCATCATTAGAAAGTTAGTCTTGTTAAATTGTTTAAAGTTATTTAGTAATAAATTTCCTTAAACGTTTGAAAGTCTCTCTCTATTCGCTTGTCTCTCAGTTAATACAAAGTGTTATTTAAAGTCCCTGCAATAAAAAGATCCAATCTTCTGATTTAAATAACCCGGTGTCCATGAGATGGGATTCAAACTAGATATGGATCTTTAATGTCTTACGGTCCTTAATTACATGTAATTGTAATCCATTACACCTCTGTCAGCGAGCCCAGGGCCGCTGCCGCTACACCGTAGCTCATCCCCACCAGTGTGTGAATGGGTGAATGACATATTGTGTTGTAAAGCACCTTGGGGGGTTCTAGGATCTAGAAGGCACTATATGAAATACAGGCCATTTACCATTTAAAATGAAAATTTGCATGATCGTTGTCGGTGTCCCATGGCTCTTTTGCTGGTGTTTGTTTTTCATTTATTTTATGGAGGCGCCCCCCTTTACTTAGCGGTGCTCCTGGATAGGGTTAGGGACTTGTGGAGACCGGGCTTGGTCACCCTGCACTCTAAAAACCTCAACTACAGTTTTGTCATTATAACACATATTTCTAAGTTAAGTGAGCATTTTTTTTTCTAAAATAGTTTAACTGAATTAAAATGTTAAGTTCACAAATTAGTTGTCCATTTAAACTCAATTTTTCAGTTGAGACAACTTTAGGTAATGAGTGGTGCATCCAGAGAAGCAACTAAGGGCCCCACACATGGTAAACTTTGTTGAAGTATTGGAAATCATGTAATTTATCCATGAGAATACAATGAATACTTACATTTATATCTTTGCATTCGTATATATTTGTGTTTTTATGTGTTTGTAAACATTTTAGTTTAACATGCCAATCTGGTGCCATTAATGTTAAACTGACTGTGTAAAGTAATCTAATAAACATTAATTCATCTTAAAAAAAAGTCATGTTTCAAACATTGGCAGAAATTTGTTTTTAATATATCTTAGTAACATTAACTAAAGTACTTCAAAGTTTTTGAAAGTTTTTGTAACTTACACTCATACCAATTTTTAACTTCTTACTTTTAAAAAATAAAGCATAAATGTATTTTAATGATAAATGTGTTATTTCTTAGAGTTAAACTTTGTATAATTTTACTCATTTTCTTAATGATGTGAATCTGCACCTAAAATAATTATCTTCTCACAAAACGCTCTCAAAACATTTGATTTTTGTATAGCTTTATGTGTATTTGTATAATTAATCCCCCTTAATGATTGTTAACATAAATGTATTCCACTGAATTGCATATTTTGTTTGTTTTAACGTTGTTTAATCTATTCGTACTTTGTTACATTATGGTTTTGAAATAAATCAATAAAAAACAACGGAAACAGTTTCGTTTTAGAGAGAAACGAAATGCGATTCAGACGCCCGATCGATAGGTGGCAGACAGTTCGAGAAATTCAAGAATTTAGAGACAGTCGTCATTTCCGGAAGCCGGGTTAGCGCGGTACTGAGCCGGAGCGGAATTTGGACGAGACGCACAGCACCGTTGGTCTGAACGTTCTGTATGTATGCTGTTTGATCAGGTAAGCCTCTTTATGATATAAACGTTATTTTGCTGGTTGCCGCTCAAATGCCTTAAGTATTTAAACACATTGGTATATTGATAGAATTGGACTTTCGTACTGGTCGAGGCCAAGCTAGCAAAGGCTAATTCTTGTGTAAGTGAAAGTGTGTGCTTGCTCTGGCATTCTACCATCTAAGTCTACTCTATTTTTTTTTGACTGGGAAATGCTTTTATTTGATTTATTTAGTCCCCAGCGTCCAACTTCATTGGTATTTATCCTCATATCTTTCGTTTTATGTCGCCATCTGTCGAGATTAACCGTTGTGCGCGCTCATTTTCCTAGTGGATGGCGCCACACGTTTTTTGTGGAACACGGACATAAAAGTGTCTAGAGCCCTTTTCAGATAGACATTCTGGAACATTTGTGGACAATTCAATCCGGTTTTTAAGAGGAACTGTGTTTTCAGACACGCCACTTTTGTACCGGAACTTGTCCTTTCGGCTGCGTTCACACAGCAGGGAAAAGTTCCAGATGTCTGACGGCGGCGGGGGGTGGGGGTGGGGGGAGAGAGAATCGGACTCATGTTAAGAAGAAGAAGAAAATATCATTTCTATAGCGCCTCTCAAGATAAAAATCACGAGGCGCTTAAGCATAATTCTGCGCACGAAGACGCATAAGAGACCTGGATGATGAAGCTCAATGGTTAAAGGAATCACTGAAGCGGTGTGAAGCGCTCTGTCGCGCGTCTAGACGGTATCTTTGTCAGAATCATCAGTATTCTTGTTCATTCTTCAGCTAAGGTGTCTTTCTTGTGCAGAAAACTCATGTCATGGTACATTGAACATTGCAGATGCTATGAAGTATCTGAAACAACTGACATTGAAATTCTTGAGGAAGAAGATCTTAATGATATCCATCCTCTTACGTCTTATGTTATTCAGGGAAAAGCTGTTGTCTCCCTGAAGAAGTTCCTCCTCCACCTTTAAGGTAATAATAATAATAGGGAACAAAAATGTAGTAATTGATTGTTTGAGACGGTGAAATGGTGAAATGCTAATTGACTTATATTTGTTTAATGGCTTTCAGAGAAATTCACTTGTGCACACATTACCCACGAAATGTTATATTGTTTGTATTAAAGCAGAGTTACATGACCAGTTGTCGTCTATTGAGCATAACTCTTTACTGGTACTCCTCTTGCAAACCTTCATGAATTTTTTGTGACGTATTTTGTTATAATTTACTTTTTTTTTTCTTCTTTTTTTTTGCGTTGCAGATCATGCTGTTTCGTGTCATTGTGTCACCAGACAACATCAGAAGGGTGGATATTTCGGAGAGCCTGTGTTCAGTAGAACATTTAAAGAACATTCTTCAAGAATGCCTTGAACTTGCAGGTGATATTTTGATTCAGTTTGAGGATCCTGATTTTGGGAATGAACTGTGCAATTTAACAGACATTAAAGAACTTCCTAAAGACAAAGCAGTACTGAAGATTTTGTATCAAGGAGCAATCCAACAAAGAGATGAATCTGCATCCTCAATTTCTTCCACGCCATCTTTAAATGACTTAGCTCCATCAACCAGCAGAAGTCGGAGTTCAACCCTACATCTTACACAGCGAGACAGTGGAATGGAAAATACTTTTTCCATGAGGAGGAAGGAAATAGTGGGAAAACAACCCTTTGTCTCTGATGTGATGAATCGATGGCTTGCGCTGTTCTTTGAAGAACAGGTTTGCATTTTCCAGTGTGTTGTATTTGATATTTTGAAGGAGCACTATGTAAGAATTCTACTGTCTAATAATCACAAAACAGTTTAGTGCCTTAATCATGGTGGAAACAGATTTCCTTTAAAGCCAGCTGGAAGGTTGTCAGACCTTTTCTTTCAAAACAAAAAGGGAGATGTAGTAAATATTTAGTAGAAGTTTGTAATGTTGCTGTGCCTCTGCAGCGTTAGCTCGCCAGAACAGACATTTGTAATTTAGTACAGTCAAAAGCTACAAAGTTTTTTTTTTTTAACAAAAGCAAGGAGTGACCCAGAAGCAGGCTAGAGGCTAACGTTGAGGTAACAATGCTAATAGTGTATAATAAGCAACTGTTATGCTCTAAAAATATTTCAAGCTACTTTTTAAATGACAGACAACTGGATATTACAGTGAAATGTGTGTGAAATTAATCAGTTAATCAGTCAAAGTTTATTAGCGCACTGAGTCCAGAGTAAAAACAAAAATAATTCAATTATGGCATTTTACTTCCTTTAATGAGTCATTCATTAAAGCCAGCTAACAGCAAGAAGAAGGAAAAACAACACTTTAATGCTGGATAAATATTACAGTAAATGCTCTACACCGTAAAACACCCAAGCGTGGTAACACCTGATATAATAATGTACGTCTATTATTTAAAATCTGGTGCTGATTTGTAACAGCCATGAAATTCAGAACAACAATGAGATAGTTAAAAATTTGCTTAGAAAAAAGTCGTGCAGTAACCACATTTTACCACTAGATGTTTGTCTTATGCTATTCTTACATAATGCACCTTTAATTATGTTTTCTGTTTAAGTGCAAAAATTGTGGTACATTTAGCATATTTTATGTGATAATGATTTAATGAGCACTATTACCTCAAAGATATGTGCTGAGTTTTTTCGAGTTACCCGGGTGGAGCTGATGAAGACCTTCTTGTCATCTCTGGATGAACACTCTGCACAACTCATAAAGCTGTACAGATCGCGCTCTGGAAAACTTGACAAGGAGCTCAAGAACCTTCTAGATATATTTGATGAGAAGGTAAAGATGTCTATGAACTGTTATTTCTGATAAACATACTGTTTACTAACTGAGATTTTTCTAATTACTAATTTAATTTTCTCATGTAACTGTCTTTCAGACGACCGATGTACTTGAATACAGAAAGTCTACAGCTCTTCGAGGTCTGCCTCTATATTTGAAGGAACAGTCTGATGGGTTTCTAAAAACGTGTCTGGTAAGGTATAGTGCTATTGCTGTTTAGATATCCTTAAGAAAAGTCTAAGTCACTGTCTTGTCTATGTTCATGACCATTTACATTAGGAGATTCTCACTGAAGTCATCAAAACTATAAATGAACACATGTGGAGTTATGTACTTAACCAAAAAAGTGCAAAAACTAAAAAAAAACATGTTTTATAATTTATTTTCTTTAAAATAGCCATCCTTTGCTCTGATTACTGCTTGGCAAACTCTTGGCATTCTCTTGATGAGCTTCAAGAGGTAGTCCTTCAACACAGTTGGAAAACCATTTCAGCAATGGGTCATCTTTTCAGGTTTCTTTGTTTTCCTCCACAGCACCTAGATTACCACATAGTGCACCAGTAAAATGTGTTCAGACTGCAGTGCACACATTTAACGAAGCTTCGAATAAGTAAATAAATAATCAAGGAATTTAACGAAAGGAATCATTTGAAGATTCGTTTCAGCCCTATTCTTGGCATCAAAATGTGTCTTTAAAATTCACTGACATATGTGAAATCCATGGCACAAAACAAGCGGCATTAGAAAAAGCATTTTTAGTCCTGTTGACTTGCATTCATTTTTTCATTCTTCTGGTGAGCCATGATGTGTAAATGACTTAAGCCTAATTTATACTTTTTCGTCTGCGTCGGGACAGATGCATGCAATGCCATTATGCGTCCTTTTGAGGGCTCTCCAGCTCACAAGGACAAAGTTGAGCACTGTTTTTCTAAACATCCGTCTGACAAGACAGAACGCAAGCTTGTGATTGGTCAGGTCACCACTGTCGTCATTAGCGCCGTCATTATCCCCTCAAAAACAAAAAGAGAGCCTAACATATCTAGCTTGAAAAATACCTCATGGTAAAACTCTGCAAATATGAATGTTTTATACACCTGTGACTGGAGGAGTGAAAATATGTGCAGCAAGCGTTTGATTTGTGAACGGAAACAATGGGAAATGTGAGTATAGAGGTGGAAGAGAATAAGACCCAAATTTGTCTGTGTTAAAAAGTCTCAGAAATACAAAAAACACAATAGTAACTGCACTACTTTGGGCCGGATACATCACAGGATACCACAGAACAGTGCTAAGCCCTCTGTTGTCTTGGCGAGGAATAGCTTTGCAACATTCCCTAGGAGAGGGAGAAGTTTAGGGGCAAAATATCTCTGTCCGTGCGTGCGTGTCTCTTTCTCGTGGAGCTGAGTATAAACCAGGCGTTCGGCTCTCAATGGCTTGTCTATATTGCACACACGCGCACACACACCACCCATTGTTTGGTTGTTTTCTGAACACATCATAATAAAGATTTGCTTTTACCTTTTTTGCTGACAAGTTTTAGCTAACACTATAGCCTTCCTCTGACTGGTGTCACTTCCTTAATTTATCTGTGGGCAGCGGAGGATGATGTTGCCCTCTGCTGCCCACACCCTCCTTGCTAATGCCAATTGGGGCTTGCATATTAGCATGGGCTCCATCCCTCTCCACTATACCCAGCCTGGCCAAGTTGATTACACACACATCCTTCGGAAGGCGTACATTACTGAGCATATACAGGTGCTGGCCAGTAAATTAGAATATCATCAAAAGGTTGAAAATATTTCAAGAGCAAGTAACGTCTAAATTAACTTTTTTTTGCTGATGAACTGTATAAATGAGTGTCTAATAGTGTTTTAAATGTGTGCATTCTTTATTTTAGCATTTTGGTGCATTTTCTTTAAAAATTAAAAATTCTGTCTAAAAACCACAGTAATGCGCCACCTTCAGCTGAAAACATAGAATTTGAGTCATTTTGAATAAATTTTAGCCAATGGCTAAAGAGTAAAGTACTACGTAAACCAGTAGAGTACTACGTAGCAGCTCCGTGCCAAAGTTATAAAAGCAACGAGCGTCTCGGCCACGCCCTGTGGCGAGTGGGAGTTGGATTTGCAAGCGAGTGTAGGAGGTCAGCGGTAGTTCAGCATTAGCATATAGCATTAGCATATCCTAGTCTTTAGCATATATTTTAGTGTTATAAATACTTATTTAGTGTTAGCTTGGCTGTTGTATATTATAGTTTAGTTAGTGTTTGGCTGTTAGTGTAATTGGGAAAGTATTTCGGGTTTAGTGTTCCATATCGTCTTAGTATTGGTGAGTAGGTGTAGTGTAGTATGGTTGCGGTGACTCTGTGGGCATTTTACCCGCGATTCTGCACGCCTCCGTTTGAAGAGGGAGGCTGTGCCCACCGTGGCTCTTCCGCGATTTAGATGCAGCCCACCGACTCTGCTCCCCCACCACGGCGGGCTCCAGTCTGAGGTGAGTCAGCTAAATAAACGTTTTAACATCTTCTAAAGACAATTCCCTACCTAAATGCAAAGTCTGAGAGACGTGGTTCACTTCCTTTAGCTAGTCAGTCGGCAATTCTGCAACAGTGACTCTAACTGACGCAGCACTTGTTGACAGCATTACAGCGTGAAATCCAGCTTGTGACCCGGTTCTGTGAGGAATTCTGTTCAGGAGGTCGCATTTCAGGCTCTCCACATCATATGTGACTGACTTTTACGTTATAACAACGATCACACACTAGGAATGTTATAAAGCGCCTATATAGGAGATTCTTTTGTATATTATCTGACTATAAACTCCAACAACAATGTGCTTCTATTTTTTTTTTTCAGGCTAAATCTACCCAAGACACTGGCTGTCAGACTGATTTAGCTGCATGAATGTACTTGTCCAGGCTGATGTGAAACCTTCCCTGTAGCAAAGGTGAATTATTTTTAATAATCTTCTATGCAAACATTTTATTATCACCTTCTAGTTTTAATTTGTTTTACAGATTATTTTTACACGTGATTTTATGCTCTTTTAAACATTTATAAATGTGCTGCTTCTTTGTTTTTACATAGCCAGCCAGAATGGAGTTCACAGCCGCAGTGTGTCTGGTGACCCACGGGGACCATGATGAAAATTCATCTTCCAGAAGGTCCCAGAGCGTCCAGACCCCCTGAAAAGACCAAGGTGTGAGGTGTCTGCTGTTGATTCCAGCTTCCACCTCAGTGACAGTGCAAGCTCAGTGAACTGTTCAAGGTAAAAAAAAAATTAAAACATTTCAGAATTTTTAAGATATTAACAATTAAATAAGTATGTGATTACATCATGACGGAGGCTACTGATTCTGCCCGTGACACTTGGTGGTGACGTGTAAGCTGATTCTCCTGGAAAATAACTTTTACATTAAATATGTTGTTTTTGCTATCAAAAGTAAATTAACTAATAACCTGCATTATTGCAGGACATTCAGCAAAATATGGACTCTACACCATGAGGCATGCACACATTAATATTCTATAAGAGCACATAAGGTGAGCAACACCACATATTGTACACTGTCCTGAATTTGTTTTCTTTCTGCATCTCATTAGCCTGGCTGATCACCTGATAACTCCTGTCATCTGGTTATGACAGCATGAGGATGTCCTCACACACCTGTAACCTATCAGCTCATCTGGCAGAATAGAGAGAGAAGAGACAACACCACATCTCCTGTTCCTGGAAAGCCTTCAGCCTTCCTTCGATGACTGAGAACCTCCATCAGCTCTGTCTCCTGTCTGCCTACAATTATTATAATAAATATTGTGTTTGACAAGTTTTTTGTGCTGCCAAATATCTCATTTAGATTCCAGTTTTGATATTTTAATGGATATTTATAAATTACATTGAATATCACATTTTTGTTGCATGTTTAACTAGCTATTGTGATTAATTAAACTAGCACCTCACTGTTAAAAGCTCGTTCTAATTTCAAGCATGTTTAAGTATTTATGGACATGAACAAAAACAGGAAATATATAAATTGAGATTTATTTAATTAATATAACAAATAAGGGGGAAAGAGTCATTGAAAGGCACATTCTTCTGGAAGTTCCTGATCCTGAGGACACCAGCAGAGGAGACCAGCTGCAGACACCAGAGACCAGCTGCAGACACCAGAGGACCTAGAACCGAGAGAGCAGCTGTTATTAGTAAATAAATAAAGAAATCAGGGCAGTTTTAGTGGGCTGAACACATTACAGAATAATTTTCTCATGGGGTATTTTCATAACTTTATATGCAGCAGACTGTACCTTGAGCCCAGGGCTACCGGAGAGCTATCCAGCATGTTTCAGTGGATTTTCCTGCTTTAACAGGTTAGATTAGCTGTTAAGCAGCTCAGCTATTTGTTGCTGATTAAAACCAGGTGTGCTGAAGCAGATAAACCTCTAAAACATGCTGAATACTAGCTTTTTGGGGCCGTGGAGACAAACCCTGCAGCTAATCCAATGCTATGGCTAACGGCTACTTACCTTTCAGAGGTGATTCTGTTGGGTCGGTTCTGGGAGTTTCAGGCAACTCACAAGCTCAAAACAATAAGACTCAGGTCCGCTTGTCTCCTCCAAATAGACTTGGTCCCTTTCTTCTCGAGTGTCTGTAAGGAGGGGGAGAAACGTCCTCCACTTCTATCAACTGCTCAGAGTGAAGGGAGCTAGCTTCGTCTAGTTAGCCATCGTCTTCGTCACTGCCTCGGCTCCGCCCTCTCGGTCCTCCAGGCAACGCCTACTAATGTTGCATTTTTTAAAATTGATACGTGGGTGGAGAAGGACTCCGAGGCTCAATTGACCCGCTCTTTCAGTAATTCCATTCAAAACGTGAAACTTGTACATTATATTCATGCAATGCACACAGACCAATGTATTTCCAATGTTCATTACATTTAAATTTGATATTCATAAGTGACAACTAATGAAAACTCCAAATTTGGTATCTCAAAAAATTAGAATATTCTGAAAAGGCTGAATATAGAAGACACCTGCTGCCACTCTAATCAGCTGATTTACTCAAAACACCTGCAAAGGCCTTTAAAAGGTCCCTCAGTCTTGTTTTGAAGGCACCACAATCATGGGGAAGACTTCTGACTTAACAGCTGTCCAAAAGACAATCATTGACACCTTGCACAAGGAGGGCAAGACACAAAAGGTGATTGCTAAAGAAGCTGGCTGTTCGCAGAGCTCTGTGTCCAAGCACATTAACAGACAGGCGAAGGGACGGAAATAATGTGGTAGAAAAAAGTGTACAAGCTCTAGGGATAACCGCACCCTGCAGAGAATTGTGACGACAAACCCATTCAAAAATGTGGGGGAGATCCACAAAGAGTGGACTGCAGCTGGAGTCAGCGCTTCAAGAACCACCACGAGGAGACTCATGAAAGACATGGGATTCAGGTGTCGCATTCCGTGTGTCAAGCCACTCTTGAACATGAAACAGCGCAAGAAGCGTCTCGCCTGGGCCAAGGACAAAAAGGACTGGACTGATGCTGAGTGGTCCAAAGTTATGTTTTCTGATGAAAGCAAGTTCTGCATTTCCTTTGGAAATCAAGGACCCAGAGTCTGGAGGAAGAGCGGAGAAGCACAGAATCCACGTTGCATGAGGTCCAGTGTAAAGTTTCCACCGTCAGTGATGGTGTGGGGTGCCATGTCATCTGCCGGTGTTGGCCCACTCTGTTTCCTGAGGTCCAGGGTCAATGCAGCCGTCTACCAGGAAGTTTTAGAGCACTTCATGCTTCCTGCTGCTGACCAACTTTATGGGGATGCAGACTTCACCTTTCAACAGGACTTGGCACCTGCACACAGTGCCAAAACCACCAGCACCTGGTTCAAGGACCATGGTATCCCTGTCCTTGATTGGCCAGCAAACTCGCCTGACCTTAACCCCATAGAAAATCTATGGGGTATTGTGAAGCGGAGGATGCAATACGCTAGACCCAACAATGCAGAGGAGCTGAAGACGACTATCAGAGCAACCTGGGCTCTCATAACACCTGAGCAGTGCCACAGACTGATCGAGTCCATGCCACGCCGCATTACTGCAGTTATTGAGGCAAAAGGAGCCCCGACTAAGTATTGAGTGCTATACATGCACATTCTTTTCATGTTCATTCTTTTCAGTTGGCCAACATTAGAGAAACAAACATTTTTTCATTGGCCTTTAGAATATTCTAATTTTCTGAGATACCAGATTTGATGTTTTCATTGGTTGTCACCTATAAATATCAAAATTAAACGTAATAAACATCGGAAATACATTGGTCTGTGTGCATTGCATGAATATAATGTACAAGTTTCACGTTTTGAATGGAATTACTGAAATATTTTCAACCTTTTGATGATATTCTAATTTACTGGCCAGCACCTGTAGATGGTCTCCGAAATTTGTGCGGAAATATCAGCAATCCATTAGCCTGGCCTGCCATACTCATCCTCTGTTTAATTCTGCACAGAGAAAGAGTTTGGTAACTCACAGGCAGAGAGGCACATGAGGGGCGGGACTAGGCAGCTCAAAAATAACCAATCAGAAAAAAGATATAAATGCCAACTGTACTGTGCGACGCTGTAATTTTTTAGCTGTAGTAAAAATAAAAAATTAAAGGCATCTGACAACGGCGTAAACATCTTTTAAATCTTTTTTTTTTTTTTTTTTTTTAGAAGAAATGCTTTCAGCGCTTCTACTTGTGGTTTTAAAGACATTCAAGTCATTTAGAACAGAGGAAAGAGCTGCCGGTATGAGAAACTGCGCGTCGCTATGTGTGATGTAGGGATGGGTACAGAATTCGGTACTTTTTAAGGCACCGACCGAATTCCACAGTACCGACCGAGCACCGATTCACTTAATTTGAAACGGTGCCTCGTTTCGGTACCCATCCTTCACAACGAGAACTTGCCCAGACAGCAATAGAGGGTGACTTTGTCCTTCGCTGCCAACCCAAAGCCAAACAAAAAAGTTATGAATCTTTCCAAATCTGCCTCTTTTATATACTACGTGCAGAATTTCATGACAGAAATCTGCCTGATTTTTTTTGTGGAATGTTTAGTTTTTTATTTTTAGGTATTTTTATCCAAAAATAATGGTTGATGTTCCTTTATTTTAAAATTAAAAGAAATTAATGTCTTTTTTTTTTTTCCCTATTTCTTTGTTTTTCTGTAGGATACTGACCCAGTGGATGTGGCTGTCCAAGGCATGGAACTTGGTATTCTCACGGTTGTCGAAGATGATGTTGGAACAGTTAACTCATTTCCAACAACAAGAAGCATCGCCCTGATTATTGAGGAGCAGATTGTCCTTGATGACATCAGCAGTTTCCCAACTGCATTTGCACTTCTCTTCGGCCTCATATATGCTCTTAACCTGGACTATCCTAAGAACTTGAGGTACACTTTTGAGGCCACTCAAAAGGGTTTCCTCAGTCTGGGAACCGACTGCTCAGCCAGAGTCCAGGCCCTAAAGAATAGTTTGCTGAAATAAAGATGGTGTTTTCTCCTACTCTGGTGAGTGCTGAGAAGGTAAGAGACGGCAAGTTGTTCTTCAATGTTAAGCGTTGCTAAAGCATTGTTTAGAATGTTTTCATATAAAAATATAATGAATGTTGAAATGGCTTGTTCAGGGGTGGTTATTTGTATATAATAAGTGTTCTCTCCTCTACGAGTTTCTTAATCTCCACCAGCCATACAGATTCTAAAGACTGGCAGGTGCCAAGCAGTCTTTTATTATTATTATTATTATTTTTTGTGTAAGTTGTTTAACAAATGTAAAATGTTTCAAAAGCAGTATTTTAAATGCTTTTAAATGAAGATTTTCTGAATGTTAAAATGGCTTCTTCAGGGATTACTGTTGTACAGAATTGTACATCTTTTTCTAATACTTTTTTACATGCCAAAGTTATCCAAAACAATATTACAAGGTAGCCACTATACTGAGCTCTACAGAAGTTTATAACACTGTTATCAATTATTTTTCTTTGTACTTCAGAGTACAATATCCAGGATGAGATGAATATTTTTCAGTGTCATTGTTGTGGCATATTTTCATTTATGGTAAGGATATATATATATATATATATATATATATATATATATATATATATATCTTCCATGAAGTGCCTTTCATGTGCATTAGTTTTATTTTTTCTGTAATCTCTTATGGAATTTTATTTTCCATTTTTTTTATTTTATTACATTGTCCACAGAGGAAATTAACTACCATTGGAAGATTGATAAAAAGAATAACTTTAATTTTGATGTTGCAATGTTACAAATAAATGTTTCCCTATACACAAGATGCTTTTGATGTGGTATGTTACTTCCAACTTTCTATTTAAAGAATGGGCAGTTGAATAAACTTAAAAGGTAAGGCAGTCGAGTAAACTTAGAAAAGTAAGGCAACCAGCTGCACAGCTTTTTTGAGTAGACTCAACAAAGGGTTTTTTGTTGTGTGAACAAGAACTAAATTGTTAATTGAACTGTCATTCTGAAGTTGAGCAAATTTAAAATTGCTCTTCAGCTCTACTTCTGTTTTTAAGTTGAAACAACCCATGTTTTTAGTTAAAAGTACTGAAGAAAAAGTTGAGACAACATGTTAACATATGTTGTCTCAACTTACTTGAATGAGTATATATGAGTTGAAGCCTTAAGTTTGACCAATTTAAAACTTTATGTCAAATGTACTCATACAAGTAAGTTAAGGCAACAAATGTAAACATGTTGTCTCAACTTTTTCTTCAGTACATTTAACTAAAAAACATGGGTTGCTTCAACTTAAAAACGAAAGGAAAGCTGAAGAGCAATTTTAAATTTGTTTAACTTAAGATTGATAGTTCAGTTTACAGTTTAGTTCTTGTTCACACAACAAAAAAAACCTTTGTTGAGTCTACTCAAAAAAGCTGTGCAGCTGGTTGCCTTACTTTTTTAAGTTCGTTCAACTTTTTTTTTTTTAGAGTGTGGAACCAGTCGGCCTTTAATGGGCCATTCCCATCTGTACCGGTTCGGCCCGGGCCGGGTAGCCCCAGTCGGCCCCAGCCTGGCCCGGTTGATTCCACACATCCTTGCCTTAAGCCCATGTGGGCTGATTCTATCCACCAATCAGAGGCTTGCTCTAATGGAAGGTGTGAATTTGCTGTCAGCAGTGGGTGTGTTGGCCCTGGTCGGCCTGAAGCAGTATCCCTCGAGAAGAGGGCTGAGAATGAGCCTTGGTTGGCCCGGAAAAATACCAGGCCACCCAGATATGTAAACAAACTACGCTACCCGGGCCGACCCGGTACAGATGGGAACGGCCCATAAGAGTCGCCTGAAAACCCTTTGTTTTTTGTTCAGCATTTCCTGAACATGCTTGAAGTGTGATTACTTTTATGTAGTTTTGGTTCTTTGCTTTAAGTTCTGTTGTTTCATGTTCAACTGTTTCATTTTTTTTATCACGACTGTATTTTGTTCTTCAGCGCCTTGGCCTCCCGTAATGGGTGAGGAAGGCGCTCTATAAATAAATCCTTATAATGTCCACAAATGGTCAGTTTAGGTGCTGTTTGACCATCCAACGTCTGGTCAAAAAGGAGACACGAGACTGCACGTGTTCCCTTTAAATCAGCCTGCCTTCATCCCACCAGCTGGAGCTCAGAGCCTTCAGCTCTGACGGAGGTAATGAAATTCTCAACTCAACTTCATTTGTAAATCGCTCCTTACAGGCACAAAGATGCCACCAAGGCGCTACACAGATCAAGTAAAAACATAAAACATTAAATCCAGAAGATAAAAACATCGTATCACAAGATACAGGTAAAAAATACAGTGAGTGCACAGATCGCTATGAGTAAAACAATAAAACTAGTTAGAAAGGTTGAAAGACAGATCATAAAAGTAGGTTTTTAGCCTTGCCTTAAAAACCGCAACAGAGGTGGAGGCCCTTATGCTGAGAGGAAGCTCGCTCCAAAGCTTAGGACCTGCCACAGCAAAGGCCCTATCACCACGTGTCTTTAGGTACCTTCTTGGGACCGAGAGGGGCATGAGGTTCTCCGAGCGGAGCGACCGTGCAGAGGTGAACGGTTGAAGCAGTGACACCAAGTAAGGAGGGGCCAGATCATTTAACGTTTTAAAAACCAGCAAAATTATTTTAAAACGAATCCTTACATCAACGGGCAGCCAGTGAAGCGCAGCCAGGACAGGAGTTATGTGGTCACACTTGCGACTGCCCTCTAAAGATCTGGCAGCAGCATTCTGCACCACTTGCAACCGGGCTATTGAGCCCTTGCTCACACCGAATAAAACAGAGTTACAGTAGTCCAATCGCAACGTGATAAAAGCATGGACTACCGTCTCAAGATCATGTCATGACAAGAAACGTTTGATCTTTGCCAGCCGACGAAGGTGGAAAAAGGAGGTGGAGATGACTCCATTGATGTGGGTGTCAAAACTAAGGGCGCTATCCAGTTTAACACCAAGATTAGTCACTGATGCAGTCAGCTGGCCATTAAATGACCCACAGTATTAGGGAAGAGTCATAATGTCTGCTTGGAGCAAACAATATAGCCTCTGTTTTGTGATCATTTAGGCTCAGAAAATTTTCACTCATCCAGGTCTTGATCTCCATCAAACAGTTCGTAAGAATAGAAATAGAGAGACCACTTGACGTGTTCAGAGGCAGGTACAGCTGACCATCGTCAGCATAAAGGTGGAAGTGAACTCCAAGCTCACGACAGATGTCAACTAAGGGCAGAATGTAAACAGAAAACAACAGAGGTCCCAATATCGAGCCCTGTGGTACCCCCCCCCCCCCCCCCCCCCCCCCCCCGGGTAGATCAGAGTACTCTGAGAAATAACTTCCCATCCTTACACACATTTTTCTATTTGTCAGGTATGCTGTGTAGAGCTCTGAAGCCAGACTGGAAAGTCTCAAAAAAGGAGTGTTTCTGAGATTCTTGGTAATGATCCTCAAACTTGTCAACCTCTGGTTGGCTACACAATCATAACAAGAGAACATTAAAACCAGATCACTCGGGTTTTCTCTCAGTTCTAGAGTAGCTTCAGACCGGCCACCTGAAGCACGCTTCTTTAACCACCAAAGCTTTTGACACGTCATCAAAACCTTGTTGCACCTGCGAAGCTGACACAACAAAACAGTTCCTGCAGAACAAGCAGATTTATTCAACTCCTTAAGAGTTATTCCTGAGAAGCAAACTAGTTCCAACTGTTGTTGCCTGGAGATGACTCTGGACTGACCTGGTCGTACTGCAGTTAATCTACGGACTTCGGTACCCGGGGTCTCCGACCCCCCCCCAATCATCTCGGATCCGAAAAGGGCGTCTCCACTTGTGTACGTAGAACACTGTGAGATTGTGTCTGGAAATCTTTTTGATAACAACCAACTTCATAGCTTAACGCAAACCAAACTCTTTTACATCCAGAACTCGGCTCTCCTGGATACGGAAGTTCTGACTAACATCGCATTCACACATAGGTTTCATACATCACAGTAAATGTTAGTTAACTTGTCATGTTTTAATTGTTGGTAAAATAAATTCTTACTTTTATAAACCTGACGGTTTTCTGAATCAAACGTAGTGTTTACAATCCTCTAATAAATAAAGAATCCTAGAATCTTCTGATAAACACAGAAGAGACCAGGCAGGGTGATATCCTATATTTAGATTGAGTATCACAGCTTATTGGCCATAAGTACAGGTAATATCTATTGAGCTCTTAAAGCACTCAACTTACCAAACCCTACAGCCTTGACTGAATGATTGATTAATTGATTGAAAGAAGGGGGCGGGCACACACACTCACAGATCAATTAAAAGAAACAAATAAATAAAAATATGTATAAAAATAAGTATTTAATTTGACTGTATTTTATAATTGTATGAAGTAAACTACTATAGCATGTTGTTATTTTGAAAAGAAAAATCTGCGTGTTTAAAGAATACAGATGTGTACTTTCCAGAAATGCATTAGTCCATCACTAGAAGCAGTAACAGATGTGTGAAAAGTCACTTTCTCGTCTAATTTTGTGTTTGTGTTGCAGCCCAGTGAGCTGCTGTCTCTGAGTTTTTATGTTATAATGACGACAGAAACGGAAGTGAGACGATTTACTAAAAATAAAGTGAAAATAAAAACAAACCAGAAAGTTTGTCTTTATTTTACACATTGTCACTTGTGTCGGCTTGCCTTACCTAGACCTAAACACAGCTCATGAAATCAGTTCTCTCTGGCGGGATTCGGTCGGCTGCTCTGACACGAGGCCGTGTGTTTATCATACATTGTTCCAGCTGAGCAGATTTAAAAATCAATACACACTAAAAGGAGAAAGGATAAAATAGGGCCAATGACTGGAAACAGTCAGTTTGCTGTGTGTGTGTGTGTGTGTGCGTGCGTGTGCGTGTGTCTGAGAAGAGCCATGTGACCATCTTCACACAGCTTCACCTTCATCCTTAAGCCTTCTCTCTCTGTCACCAATCAATTCTCATCGCCGCGGCGACCGCGGAATCCATTTAGTTGCATCATCACAAAGACACCACACACACACACACACACACACACACACACACACACACATACGCACACACACACGCACACACACACACACACACACGAACACACGCACGCACACACACACACACACACTCACATGCACGCACGCGTGCACGCACACACACACACTCACACTCACACGCACGCACACACACGCACGCACACACACACACACACACACACACACACACAAACAAACACACACACACACACACAAACAAACACATACACGCTCACACACACATGCGCACGCACACACACACACACACACACGCGCACGCACACACACACACACACACACACACCTGTGGGTGTGTGTTCAAGCTTTCTCGATGACCTTGAAATGAATCGGGTCGTAGGACCTGGACGAATAAAAAGGCTGCTGCTTTATGAAAACAAAAAACAAGAGAAAGGAAATAAATCAGACGACGGATCAGCTGATTTTATTCATCTGCTGATCTGACTTTAAATAAGAAAACAGACGAACGAGTTTACATGGATGATGAGAAGCTTCTACGCCCGCGCTGCTCCGGGGGAGGCTGGAGGGTGTTTGTGGGGAGACGCAGGTCTGGGCCGCTATGGACCTGGTTCCTCTCACACACACCTTTAACATTTAACTTTTTAACTTTAACTTGATAAAGTCCCATTAGTTGTCACACACACAGGTGTGTGTGCGAAATTTGTTCTCCACATTTGACCCATCCCCTGGGGGAGCGGTGAGCTGCAGACACAGCCGCGCTCAGGAACCATTTGGTGGTTTAAACCCCCAATCCAACCCCTTAATGCTGAGTGTCAAGCAGAGAGGCATTGGGTCCCATTTTTTCAAAGTCTTTGGTATGACCCGACCAGGATTCGAACCCTGATCTCCCAGTCTCAGGGCGGACACTCAGGTTTGCAGAACTGAACAGCACAAGCACAGCAGCAGAACAGAGCTGTTGGTGTCAGCTTTTC